ACAAAGGGATGCTTAAGGGAAGACGAATTGCGTGGCAGTCGTCAACTGAGAGTCGAGTTGTCAGGAGTTGGTAGATTGTGAGTCGAGAGTTGAGTGCAGTGAAAGTTGTCGAGTTGTTACGAGTCATAAACTGTTATTTATGAATAGATCCATCTATCGATAAATTTATCATATAGAATAGAAATCATTGGAAATCCTAATTTCTAATATTTCAGAATAAATAATCCTATAATAATAATAGGTTTATTTCGTAAAAACTTCTGGAGATATCATTTAACGTTGCACAGAACAGTGGTGTTATCTTATATAATTTACAAATTCATCTACATAGCATGTAACTGAATTTACTTGTTCTACAGTTTCTATGGGAATTATAATTATCTGTAATCACATAATTTTTCTTGTGTCAGTATGAGTCACAGCATTTTTTATAATAATACTTTACAGCCGCACATATGGAGAATTGTATTTGCAAAAAAAAATTGGTATACGATATCTCCAGTGTGTGATACTTTTAAAAAATATTAATATCTCACATCATTTGGACATAACATATATGTGTGTGCATTTCATAGTATTGTCACATAGAATTATCAATAAATACACAAGAGTCGATGACGAAGCTACGATATATATCTCTTATTGTGTCATAGCTTCGTAATCAATCCCACCCTTGCGTATCTAATGATAATTCTATGTGATAATTCTATGAAATGCACACAATATATATATAAATATAGGAATGTTAAATAATAAGTAAGTAGAAAAGAGTATGATAAATACAATATCGTTGCACTCACACGAAATCGAATATAATACCGCGTTACGCGTATTCGTTTCTCACTAATTCTACGTCACAACAACACAACGAACTTCACTCGACCACGATAAATTCAACTCTGACAGCATTTTCCACCCTCATTTTTCCCTTAACAAACCTCGGTAACGCTTACAACAATCCTTCACAACATTAACATATGTTGACAACATTTATAAACAATTAACCCACACGCCACGTCCTTCCCTGACGTCACACCATCCCACATAAATATATATATGTATACGTACTTATATTCAGAATCAAAAGAGGTTCATTCCTCGGTGTGACTTGCACAACATTAGACGGTGATTAGTGCGGAGGAGTAACTGGGACATTTTTTTGTTTTGTTTTTAGTAACTTTTGCATCTTATCATGAATTCCTTCGAAGAGAGATTTGCATATTCGTTACATTTTGATGAAGCTAAATCAGATGAAGACCGACTAAAAAAGTGTATCGATCAACTGTTCGAGAAGCCTCTAATAATTGATGATACAAGATCCACAAATAATGCTCTACTGTTTCTTTCTTTGGGTGAGTACGATAACAAACGAAGATTATATCTCTTATATTCAGATCTTCTCTTAGTTTTGTACATTATACTTACTTTGGTATAAAATGTATTATGCGCATATTGCAATTTTTTCATTGCGAATTATATACAGATCGCATACGATCATAAACTTGGATCAAATTTCAATACCTGATTTGCAACTTTATCTTTAGAAATAGTAATGTTATTTAAAACACTGAAGCTTAACTTCTACGAATGAATTAAATATCTCGGCACGTAATACTCTTCATATTCGGACGAGATATCGTGCAATCGCAATGTCGTTCATGTTGACGTTTTAAACGACATATCTCGGATATCTTTTCGTTAGAAATTAGAATATCCAGCCCAAAGTCTCGGATAGAAGACAATTGGTAAGACACAGTCCGCTTATGAATATGAAGACAACTAACAATCGCTATTCACACTGATAGATCTAACGCCGCTTCGTCTAACGCTGATCGAGACTTCCAGGAAAAAGCTACGTTCAGAAGAAACAGCGTTACACGAAGCAATGTTAAACGCATCAACAAATTTATATATACTTTGATGTGAACCTTCCATTTCTAACAGTTTATAATTAAATTTTAAAGTATTCGTTTGCTTCGATCAAATGAAATTTCGTTCATACGTATATGCAATTGCATGATCATTTACTTCGAGATTGGCGTAAGTCCATTTTCCGTCGAGACGTTAACAATATATTAAGCGATGTAGGTCCATTCACGAGCCTGAAAAAAATGTTGGTTCAATCGATTCTAAAAAAAAAAAGAAGAAAACTGTGTGGTTAATGTAAGAGCTAACCGCTAAGTGTAGTAGTATGAATAGCGAAAATCGTAAACTTGAAAAACTCCAAAATCTGTTATTCGGAGTGTTAAATAAATGAATGTGAAATGTCGAATGAAAACTGTAGTTATGAATTTCAATTAGAAATGGAATACTACGCATCCGATGAGCGACGTTTGATTGTCATATTAAAACACATAGACGTGAGATATCTCGTCCGATGCGTATCGCGATTAGTCGGAAGAAGCTGAAACGTTATATCGAAATAAAACCTTTTGCAACATCTATTCACGATCCATTACAAGTCAGTTAGTTAACAAAGTGCGAAAATTCATATTTCCGAACACGTTAAAGAGAAAATAATCGAAGAATGCAGGAATAATATTCTTGTTTCATTTTTTCGCAAATAGCAAGTACAGCCAAATCGCGCGGGGATTATGATGAGGCTGTCAACTTTTATACGAAAGCATTGCAAGAGGTCTTCCCGTACTGCGAATTGTCTGCAATATTATACTCAAATCGTGCTAAGGCCTTGGGATGCCTTCAAATGTACGAAGAGAGTTTAATAGATATCGATAGGGCGATCGAAATTTCTACCAATACCGCATTAACTAAGCATTTCAAAGATACAAAAATGGATTTGGAAAAAAAAGCTTCTCGTCCGCATACGAAACAAAATAACAGAAATCACTTCGAGGATATACCATCGCTATCGCACAACGAAAATAAAGATATTCCTGGTATGAGCGATGCTGTTCGCTTGGTTCATAGTACAAAATATGGTGTAAATTTTGAAGCGACGAAACCCATCGGCACTGGAGACGTCATTCTAATCGAGAAACCACAAGTAACGTCTATCATTCAAACAGACGTTGATGTTGCACGTATGTGTTACTATTGCCTAAGAGATTACAGAGCATTACTTCCATGTGAACGGTGCAATAGCGCGCTATATTGTTCGAAAGAATGCCGTGCAAAAGCATACGAAGAATACCATCGATTTCAATGCAACTCTAAAAACTTCCCAGATGATGTTCAATTTGTAATAATCTTGCTTATGAAGATTACAGAAAACGGCGAAAAACTTGCAGAAGCCATTAAATATTGCGAGAAGCTCGATACTATGAGCTCAGGAAGAAAACTGTGTGGTTAATGTAAGAGCTAACCGCTAAGTGTAGTAGTATGAATAACGAAAATCGTAAACTTGAAACCTCCAAAATCTGTTATTCGGAGTGTTAAATAAATGAATGTGAAATGTCGAATGAAAACTGTAGTTATGAATTTCAATTAGAAATGGAATACTACGCATCCGATGAGCGACGTTTGATTGTCATATTAAAACACATAGACGTGAGATATCTCGTCCGATGCGTATCGCGATTAGTCGGAAGAAGCTGAAACGTTATATCGAAATAAAACCTTTTGCAACATCTATTCACGATCCATTACAAGTCAGTTAATTAACAAAGTGCGAAAATTCATATTTCCGAACACGTTAAAGAGAAAATAATCGAAGAATGCAGGAATAATATTCTTGTTTCATTTTTTCGCAAATAGCAAGTACAGCCAAATCGCGCGGGGATTATGATGAGGCTGTCAACTTTTATACGAAAGCATTGCAAGAGGTCTTCCCGTACTGCGAATTGTCTGCAATATTATACTCAAATCGTGCTAAGGCCTTGGGATGCCTTCAAATGTACGAAGAGAGTTTAATAGATATCGATAGGGCGATCGAAATTTCTACCAATACCGCATTAACTAAGCATTTCAAAGATACAAAAATGGATTTGGAAAAAAAAGCTTCTCGTCCGCATACGAAACAAAATAACAGAAATCACTTCGAGGATATACCATCGCTATCGCACAACGAAAATAAAGATATTCCTGGTATGAGCGATGCTGTTCGCTTGGTTCATAGTACAAAATATGGTGTAAATTTTGAAGCGACGAAACCCATCGGCACTGGAGACGTCATTCTAATCGAGAAACCACAAGTAACGTCTATCATTCAAACAGACGTTGATGTTGCACGTATGTGTTACTATTGCCTAAGAGATTACAGAGCATTACTTCCATGTGAACGGTGCAATAGCGCGCTATATTGTTCGAAAGAATGCCGTGCAAAAGCATACGAAGAATACCATCGATTTCAATGCAACTCTAAAAACTTCCCAGATGATGTTCAATTTGTAATAATCTTGCTTATGAAGATTACAGAAAACGGCGAAAAACTTGCAGAAGCCATTAAATATTGCGAGAAGCTCGATACTATGAGCTCAGGTAATGATAATTTATTAATTCGTAATTCTCTATTCCGTCATCATCGATATAAACATAAATGTGAATTAAAGTTACTAGCTTGTGCAGAGAAAGAACATACTCTTCGACGTTAATTCTTTTTTCTTTCTGTACTACTGTCTTGTATTTAAAGCTTCGTGCCAAATTTTGACAATTTCTCTTTTACTCGCAAGTGTATTTTATATATCCGCGATAGAGGCTCGACTTTATTAATAAATTGCGAATGTTCCAGCATTTACACAGAAATTAAACATACGTAATACAAAAAATGTACAGCATATTCAAAATAGAATTACCGATTGTAATATTTTAAGGGTGAAATAGACGTCGATTCAGTTTCTGTTTCGTTCGTTGTATTCGTAAGAGTGCGAACTTGCACGAACATCCATAATCCATCAATGAGGAAGAAATTTTGTATCGTCTCGTAACTTCGTCGTTAACAACATCGTTTCAATTTTTAATAGATTCGATGAAAGAATTTCGTACGATACGTGATAATTTGGGAGACAATTTGAAATCCACCCTCAATTTGAGTATATCGATGAAGGATAATGACAAGAAAAATGCAAGAAGTATATTCATATCAGCCTATATCGCTTCATTCCTACGAAATCAGACCAATTATATGCGGGGATACGACGATGTCTTAAGTATCGCTAAATTATTACTCCGATTGTTCTACATCTTCCATGCACACGCCTTTATGGTGAGTATCTAACAATTTTTAACCATTTCTTTCAAACCGCTGCGGTCAATATATGATTTTATAAAATACATGCTATAGTATGTAAGAAGTCGCTGATTGAATAAGTTTTCATGTAATAGCTACTAATCATATATTTTCCAGGAGGATATATCGGTTAACAAAGATAATGTAAATGGAGTTTACAATCTGTATTCCTTGCTTAGCTTGTTTCCCCACTCTTGTTGTGCGAATACAGTGTATTCGATACATAAAAATGGCGTGATAGCTGTACGCGCAACTAAAGACATCAAACCAGGTGAACAGGTAATAAATTTCGTCTTTTCGTTGCTATTAACTTGTGAAATAAAGATTTGTCTAATGAGGTGTTTTGCAGATAACTTTTAATTTTCTACGTACAAGTCGGTCCGCAACTCTCATAATCGAATTTATATCACGACAAATAGTCCTACAAGAAGAGATCTGGAGACGTCATTCTAATCGAGAAACCACAAGTAACGTCTATCATTCAAACAGACGTTGATGTTGCACGTATGTGTTACTATTGCCTAAGAGATTACAGAGCATTACTTCCATGTGAACGGTGCAATAGCGCGCTATATTGTTCGAAAGAATGCCGTGCAAAAGCATACGAAGAATACCATCGATTTCAATGCAACTCTAAAAACTTCCCAGATGATGTTCAATTTGTAATAATCTTGCTTATGAAGATTACAGAAAACGGCGAAAAACTTGCAGAAGCCATTAAATATTGCGAGAAGCTCGATACTATGAGCTCAGGTAATGATAATTTATTAATTCGTAATTCTCTATTCCGTCATCATCGATATAAACATAAATGTGAATTAAAGTTACTAGCTTGTGCAGAGAAAGAACATACTCTTCGACGTTAATTCTTGTTTCTTTCTGTACTACTGTCTTGTATTTAAAGCTTCGTGGCAAATTTTGACAATTTCTCTTTGACTCGCAAGTGTATTTTATATATCCGCGATAGAGGCTCGACTTCATTAATAAATTGCCGATGTTCCAGCATTTAGACAGAAATTAAACATACGTAATACAAAAGATGTACAGCATATTCAAAATAGAAATACCGATTGTAATATTTTAAGGGTGAAATAGACGTCGATTCAGTTTCTGTTTCCTTCGTTGTATTCGTAAGAGTGCGAACTTGCACGAACATCCATAATCCATCAATGAGGAAGAAATTTTGTATCGTCTCGTAACTTCGTCGTTAACAACATCGTTTCAATTTTTAACAGATTCGATGCAAGAATTTTGTACGATACGTGATAATTTGGGAGACAATTTGAAATCCACCCTCAATTTGAGTATATCGATGAAGAAGAATGACAAGAAAAATGCAAGAAATATATTGATATCAGCCTATATCGCTTCATTCCTACGAAATCAGACCAATTATATGCGGGGATACGACGATGTCTTAAGTATCGCTAAATTATTACTCCGATTGTTCTACATCTTCCATGCACACGCCTTTATGGTGAGTATCTAACAATTTTTAACCATTTCTTTCAAACCGCTGCGGTCAATATATGATTTTATAAAATACATGCTATAGTATGTAAGAAGTCGCTGATTGAATAAGTTTTCATGTAATAGCTACTAATCATATATTTTCCAGAGGCATACATCGTTAGACTGTAGAAGTGGAGTATACGATCTGTATCCCGTGCTTAGCTTGGTTCATCATTCTTGTTGTGCGAATACAGTGTATTCGATACATAAAAATGGCGTGATAGCTGTACGCGCAACTAAAGACATCAAACCAGGTGAACAGGTAATAAATTTCGTCTTTTCGTTGCTATTAACTTGAGAAATAAAGATTTGTCTAATGAAGTACTTTGCAGGTAACTTTTGATTTTCTACGTACAAATTTCGTAAATTTAGCAATCGAGTTTGTACCGCGACAACTCATCCTAAAAGAACATAAACGTATTTTATGCGATTGCTCGACTTGTGAATTGAGTCGTTGTCCTGAGCGTGATAGGATATTAGGAACATCGGTAGAATTAGAACGTCGCCTACATAAGCTGACAACAGCTTGCGGGATTTAACAACGAAGGAAGCCATTATTTACACAGGTTTACCTGCAAATCTAAATTTTGCTTGCTTTGTATTCGATTGAGCTTGAAATATTTTATCTCAATTTAATACGCATACATACAGTCAGTCGCGAAAGCCTGCGCAAATAGCTTATCGAATTTTGCGTATCTAACTTACCAAAGAAATTAAACGCGCATTTTGTTACAAAATTGTCTACGCGTAACAAATTTCCCTGGAAACAAATTACTGATTACGTAGGAAATTGGCAAAAACTATTTACAAGACACTATTCTTAACTTGTAGAGTTACTTGTATCGTTAACTTAATCCTAAAGCAAACTATTACCTATTAAGAAAGATGAAGAATTGTTATAGACAGTGTTCACCCTGTATATATGCCTATTAAATGAATAATATCACTTCATCAAAGTTGTTAATCTTCAGTTTTTACGTAGTCTGTATCTTATTCCTTCTTTTTCTGCTATCGTTCAAATACAAATTAATTTATATTTATTTTCAACTGTTTTTCAGCTACTGGACGTCCTATACCGATTAATTGGACTTTCGTAAACGAGCCTTGATCCTGATTATGATACGAGGATTCGAGCAGAATGCATAACAACCTTAATCTTTCGTATTTCTAATGTTCTCTTAATGTTATAATATTAATTCTTTACTTCGTATTTTTAGTGGCACACAAAAATTTTCATTTCTACTCTTTTATGCGATGTTTATCTTTGGTTGTTTATTATCTCTATATTTATCCGTATTGTTTGCTTACAGTATTTTATAATTATATTATATTTTATTATAATTAGATACGTTACAATATTTCTTATCCATACAATTAGTTTTAACAAAACAACATTAATATACGTATATAATGTTAACTACATGTTAACTTATACCGTTATTTTTAATATAGTCTAATAAAAAATATTAATATTGATAACTTCATATATACAACTTCGTGTTATATTAATTTTTCTCCCCCTGTACATTCTTACGATATAACAGAGTTCAACCACTTAACACACACATTTACAAGTATTCTAACTATTCGTACTTTATGTTTCACAATGGTAAAATGTAAAATGTATACGCCACTTACACAGTTAAATAAGTCAGGAATACATTCGAGCAACCACCGTTACAATAGAAACTAACGGCAATTACTTCCACATGTAATATACAGGGTGGTTGGTAACTGTTGGTACAAGCGGAAAGGGGGTGATTCTACGCGAAAAAAGAAGCCGAAAATATAGAATAAAAATTAAAAAAAAATTTTTTTTTTTTAATTTTTCCCATCGAGACAACGATCTACAGTGAGATCCGTTATAACGAGACGTGATAAAGTGCACGCGTGCCGAGCGAAAATTCAAAGTCGATTTTCTCGAAAACAAAGCC